GATGTGATGTGATAGTAATGTTGTAGTGGGATTGGTGACAATAATAATATAAGCAGCTAATAGTTATTGTAAATTGGTAGAAGTGATTAGTAATGGTGGTGAGAGAATGATAAAAACAATAAATGTAATTATTGTGGTGATAGCTTGAACTAAAAAGTGATTGTTAGTGTTTTACTTTATTTCATTTATTTATTTTGATATAAATCCTGATAATAGGTATTTATTTTCATGCCTACATTTGGAAATTATCTCTGATCTTATTGGTTTTTATTTGGTGGTATTAAATATGCTGGGGGGGGGAGTAATTTACGTTAATAATTATAGTGGATTTATATGTTAATAGTAGATACGATGTGGTAGTAATGGTGTTGGGTGTTGGTGGTAATGATAATATTAGTAGCTAAGTGATTACTAATGGTGGTTCAATGATAATAACAATAAATGTAATTATTGTGATGGTAGCTTGAACTAAAGAGTGATTGTTGGTGTTTTTTTGTTTTTTTTTTTTTTTATCCGTTTGGTATAAATTCGGATAATAGGTACTTATTCTCATGCCTACATTTCTGATCTTTTCTTTAGTAAATTCTTTTGCGGGTCTGGGATATTATTGCTAATTTTTTGTGTCCTCCCAGTTGTTAAGGTTTCTATCCTCTATTTTGTTTGGAAAGAATTATATTGAAATAAAAAAATAAATTCGACTATATTGGTTCCTGTTGATGCTGGAATATCGTTAGTCAACTAAGAATTTGTAGCATTCGTTCTGGATTACATTTTAATGCAGCCAGTCAAAAAGATAGTTTCTTTTTTGTATAAGGGCATTAAAAAACGGAGAATATCTGTCAGAAAGAAAGAATTGTGTGCTGAAATTTCATGCAATATGCACCCCTATAGGGCAGTGAATTAGGGACAGTTTTTTCACAGATTAAGAGAAGACTTGAATAACGGTTCTATCGTAGGATGCGGCGAATACCATGGAGGAAGCATGTGACCAACGAGGATATTTTACAAAAAATAGAAACAAAATGGACACTTGTAAGTAGAATCGGAAGGATATAGGCAACATTTTGAGGGAAAAATAATGAAGAACGAATTGTTACAGAATTTGACATGCAGAAGACATTAAACACAATAGGGACAGAGAAAAATCGCAACGAATCTATTTAACAAGTTTACGTAAATAGACTGAAGCACAGGGAGAGTAAAGGAGAGTAAGGAATGAAACATTCCTTTGAGCTACCAAGGATAAGGAGTTATGGAGAGTCATGATTGCATGTGTCCTCATGGTGCACGGCACATAGAAAAAGAAGAGGAAGATACGTAAATAAAGAGAGGGTGATTATATGCTACTGAATATAGTGGAAGGGATTTATATTGCCCTCGAGGAACTTATATCGAAACGAATACTTGACATTTTATTCACAGATGAAGAGGACACTTGAAGCAACAGAAATGTGGTTCTACAGAAGGATGCTGAAAAAAACATCGATGTAGCGCGTAAGAAAGCAGGAAATTTAAGGAAAATGGAAACAGAGTGGATAGACCCTAATATTCTAATTAGAAAGAGAAATCTAAAATTTCTGCGACACGTAAAAGAGGAATCGGAAAATTGGATACTCCATCGACGAAGTTTTCTAGAAAATAGAAACAAAAAGGAAACTTAACGTCAGGAAGAGTCAGTTGAGGTTTCTAGAGCACATAATGAGGAGGGAAGACTTGGAAAATCTGATACACACAAGACGAATTGAAGGCAGGTGGGACAAAGGAAAACAGCGTATAACATACTTAGTGAGCTTGAGAAATAACAGAAAGATAAAATTTATTAAGAGCGATAAAGGACAAGAAGTTGTGGAGAGCCATAATCACCTATATCCCAAGAATAACATATTAACATATTAAAGAGGGGCAAAGTGAAATGGAGAATAACGAACTACGGCAAATGGATGACAGAACAAGAACAAGATAGGATAACAAATAGACAAAAAATATGTTATACTACGACGGAAATGAAGTTGCGAAATCCCATAATCACCCACGCCTTGAAAGTAGAAGATATTTTAGTGAGTAAGTTTTAAACAATGGTTCAAATAGTAAAAAAATAAATACTATTTTCGCTATATTTTATTTTCTTAAAATATTTTAAAATGAACCTGTAACATAAGAAAATAATGATTTAGCCATGTTCTGATAACAGCAGTGGACATTAGGGGTCGGCAATGTACGGCACGCGTGCAATACATGGCACGCCAAACAATTTCTAATGGCATGCAGCCGCAAATGACCTCACGAAGTCCGATCCAATAACTACTACAACATAAAGATGTTTATCTGTTTCAAAATTGCTCACTCCTTGGACTCCCATTAATAATAAAATCTTTAAAAATACTTTTAAAAAAAGTTTATTTCTAATAACGTGTTTAACATATTATTGAATATATTACTGTATAAAATATATTGTAGGACAGCTATATTGACTTTGATATAAAAATACGTATGCTGTTGGCATACTAAATGATTTTAAAACCCCAAGTCGGAACATAGCAAAAGGTTGCCGAACTCCAATGTACATGATGAAAAGTGTTACAAGTGGTCTACAAAATTTTGTGATTGTCTTTTCAATCTGAAATCTTAAAGTAGACGATATTGATAGCAAATAATTGATGCATCCTGTCTTTTATTATGTAAATCTGAGGGATTTTCTGAATGCATCATGCAAGAATATAGTAACAAATATACTTTAAAGATTTTCTTTGGAAACAGTTACGTCAATTACATTAAATAAGGAGATTGATGAGAAATCTTTTTAAAATCATTTCACTACAAGCAAGGCGGGAATACCACAAATTGGGCACAGGGAGTGAAAGTGAGAGAAAACACTAAGTAGAATGAGGAAAGGACAAAAGTTGAACGGGATTCAAGAAGACAGAAGAAGGCGATTGATATTGCATTTAAATTTTTGAAGATTGCAATTATCAGGGAATGAATTAAACAGAAGCAATTTCCACAGGCGGGAAGTGCGAGAAAAGAAACTGTTGGAATAGAAGTGTCGGTCGAATTTAGCTATTTGGACACTAAACGAACGGGACCTAGATGCCAATCTAGTAACACGCTTAAATTCAAGTAGTCGGGACACCAAAGGGAAAGAAAATACTCGTCAGAGCAGATGCCATGAAAGTATTTGTAGAAAAGACAGAGGGAAACCACGCCACGCCGCTGAGAAAGTCACTGATGCCAAGATGTTGATTAAGTATCGATTACATTACAGATCCATCTTTGAATTTTGCCAAGAACCCCGAGATGAATAAAAGAAGCACCAAATTAGATATGACAGCAATATTTCATGCACGAAAGACTGATAACTATCCGTAAACGATGGATATTTTTTTTAAAATCGAGTTCACCCGAAGCAAGGCCGTAAAGCCACTAAGGCATAAAGGGTTACTGGATGTGGAAGAATTAGACACAGAAAGATTATTAATAAGTGAGAACAAAATAAGAATAATCAGGACGACAGTAAATAGTGATTGACATTGCATTCAAATTTTTGAAGATCAAAGTTGACAGAGGGGCGAGAAACCGGAAGAGACCTCAACAAGCGAGAAGTGCCAGGAAAGAAACTGTTAGTATATAAATTATGGTTATATATAGCCAACTCAACTGAAAATTGTTGAGACCTAGACGCCAATCTAGTAATGCGCTTAAATTTAAAATATATATATATCTAGGTACCAAAGGGGAAATTTATTCGGACAATTACCATGAAAGTATTTATAGAAAAGGCACAGCGAATCAATTTTACGGCGGTGGGAAAGTGACTGAAGCCGAGACGCCAGATCAGGACCAATAATATTGCTGATTATCTTTAGATTTTATTAAAGATATCTAGATGAATAGCAGGAGCACTGGTCCAAATATGGCAGCAATATTCTAAGCATGGATGAATGGTTGACTTATGGATATGTAAGATAGATACTGGAGAGAAAAAAAAACTGTTTAGCACGTCCCTGTGAACCAACTCTCTTAGGGGCTGACCTAGCAATGGGTCCAATATAGTCTGGTGTAAAGATTAGAAACTCTGAACAGGAAATTGGTGAGCCGAGTTCGAATTCTGGGCGTGATATTCAATTTAGGACCAATAAACGTAGTAAGAGTGTTAATCTATATCTCCTCCCCAAATATGGATTAAATAGCAGAGTAAACTGAATTATTAAGCCGTAGTTGGCAACCAGAATAGAAGGAAAATTCTGAATTCGAAACGGTATACTTTTCTAAAAGGTCACATACTTGCTGGATCTAAGGTCCAATCAACTTATTGGTTGGGTCTGTGTGGACTGAAAAAATACAAGTGGGCCTGAGCATGCTTAGAAAGCTGAAACATTTCTGATGATGATGAAGCAATAGTGAAGCAACAGTGTGCTTGCAAATGCTGAAAGCTACCGTTGAATCAAGACAAATAACAGTAAAGAGAAAATAAAATAAAAAAAATTAAAAGCTAGACGACCGTTGAAATCCATCTGAGAGTCTAAATTTCATGACAAGCAACGAAGAGAAACAAAACAGTCATTTTTAAAATAGAGACGACATTATTGCTAAAGGATATTACGTTTACACTTCTTTCATATACGTTACTTTTCAAATCGCGTGATGGACATATATATTCTTAGTTTCAATCAACATTTGACCCAAACTAGGAAAAGCTAAAACCAGGGACTGTTGATGATTCTCATAGCGATCACAGATATAGAAATAGATAACGCTAGTCTATATCCGTAGTCATAGTAGAATGGACCCGCGCGCTGTTGGTGTACGATGATGCGCTGCTAAGGGCAGATAGGGCTTATGCGATGGCAGTTTTGTTTTTGCTGTGGCTTGTTTTTCATGCTGGCGTTGGGGAGGTTTCGTTGTTTAACATCGAAACTTCTTCAACGTCGGTATGAAAAACAAAGTCTTTGAAAAGGCGAAGGGAAGTGAGAGGGAATACTTACAGAATCGGTAAGAGGTGGATGGATGCTGATATCTGCGACACGCAAGTCATAACTATACAACACCCAGATAATAATGGACACAGACGAAATGGTCTGCTTCTCGTCTATCGAAGAGGAACGCCTCGATACGCACGCAAGGTCAAATGTTCGAATGCGTTGAGTAAAAGATATATATATATATATATATATATATATATATATATATATATATATATAGAGAGAGAGAGAGAGAGAGAGAGAGAGAGAGAGAGAGGAGTGATCAGCAAAAAGGAGAAAATATATGAGAGGACAAAAAAGCGAAAAGACAGTCATCGCTAAAAGAGAGACTATTTCCGTCTTAGACCGTGTAGACTCATACGAATACTAACTGTCGTCTAACAGAGTGAAGACATTACGGGGGTAAGAGAGCTCTGGAGGTAAGGAGGTAAAATTAATAAGTTCAGTGTTGTTTGATAAGTGTAGCTAGAATGCTAACGTTCTGAGGACGCGACCTAGGTTCGAATCTCACATTATCTCATTCGTAAAGGAAGCGATATTTGATAATATCACCGCAAAATGACGATCCCAGCATGCCACAATGTGGCAAGATAATTGTCACGAAAGCGAAATTGGGTAGTTTTTCTTTTTAATAATACCTATTAAGCAAGACAATAATGCCCTAAAACGTGCGACAGAGTGAAGACAGTGCGTGAGTGAGAGAGCTCTAGAGCTAAAATTCATAAGTTTGGTATTGTTTGTTAAGCGTGGCTAGAGCTTTAACATTCTGCGGACGCGACCTAGGTTCGAATCTCACATTATCTCATTCTTAAAGGAAGCGATTTTTGATAATATCACCCTAAGATGACGATCTCAGCATGTCACACTGTCGAGAATTAACTAAATGCAATGTCACGAAAGTGAAATTGGCTAGATTTTCTTTTTAATAATACCCACCAAGCAAGACAATAATACCCCTAAGACGCAAGGGTAACTGAGAGTAAAAACTTCTACAAGGAGAAAGGACAATGAAACAACTGGCTTCAGGAAAAAAAAAAGATTGCGAAAAATATTGCATTTAATTTTTTTTTAAGAATGTAGGTGGCAAAGATGCAAAAAATAGAATATAATTCCTCATGCGAGAAGTGCTTCAAAACAAACTATTGTAATGAAACTTACGGTTGCATCTACCTGTTCAATTATAAAACATTGGGACCTATTTGCCAATTTATTCGTACGTTTAAATTCATGCAACTGAGATACCAATCTCATTAGAACAATTAACATGAAAATATTTATGGCAGAAACACAAAGATGGGAAAGTTAGGACCGATAACATTACAGACCTTTGTTTTTTTTTTAAAACCTAGAGATATATTGCAGGAGCAACCAGATCAGATAAGGCAGAGATATTCAATATTCGGACGAATGGTAGAATTACAGATGAAATCTATCGATAAAATTGTCAGGTACAAGACACTAAAATAAATTTCCTAGCAGCAGACTTAGCAATTGATTCAATATACGGGGTGTAACAGCAAAATTGTCCAAATTGTGTAACAGCATAGGATAATTGTCCATCTCAGAAAATGTTTAATATCTTAAAAAAAAACACTAAACGAATTAAGTTTCTTTTTTTCCAGGTTTTCAGATAAGATGTTTAGCCATCTTGGCTCTATTTGTCGTAAGAATCTCTGAAAAACCCTTTGAGTTATTCTGTTAGAAATTGAACAGGTTAAAATCGGTTTGTGTCATCCTCACTGTCTTCCCAAATGAGCAATGGTGAAAGGAAAAGGGTTATTCAGTCCTTCAGTAATGGTACAAACATTCATATTCTTGCTTCCATCTTCAAAGTCCATTCAAAAACTATCAAGAGAACGGTGAATTTAAGTTTAAAAAGAGAGAAGAGTAGAGAGGAAAATTGAATCAGGAGGTCACAACAGCAAGAGGGATCATCATTTCAGTTTAGTGCTAAATACGTTTTTATTGTTCAAAGTATAGTCCAAACATTTTTATAAAAATCTCGGAGATTTCTAGTAAGATATCTTTAATCATTTCTAATTTACGACCGTTTAAAACTTAATCTAACAATTAGACAATTTTGCAATCCTGGAGGTCAGCATTCAAAACAGTGGTTAAAAAAAAAATACGTGTAAAAAGAGAAATGAGTGTATAAGAGTAGACACTGAGGTCAACACCGAGTGGCAATAATCTGTTTCTTGAGTGAATACAGTCTTCAACCACGTGATATGAGTAGTAGCTAATTTGATTATTATGGGTAAGATTGTCAGTTATTTCCGGTTTATTGTGTTATTCCAATGGCTACTGAATAAGCGGGGACGGTTATTACAAAGACTATTCTAAAGGCGGTTGAATAAAAATAATTATAGGTGAGTATGCGGTTATTGTATAAGGTTCTTATTTTTTAACTTTCAATCATTATTTTTTATTAATTATTTTAGGGAAGTTTGTTTTTATTCATGAATTATTCGCCACTTGTCGTTATTATTAAATTTACTTAATTGTGTTTATGTGTACATTCGTCCGTATATTATTTATTTCCTACTTTATTTATGGTGTGGGGCGTGTTTATTGGGTTTTTTTTAGGTATTGGTTTTGTTTAATGTAGATTATCTTATATGCGTTCGGGTTTCGTAGGTTTCAGCGTGGCCCATATGCCGTCGTTGATTCGGCGTCAGAAAAATATTTGGACTATTCGATACAGCCGTTTAGGCGTCAGACAGTTTCGACGTCACTGCCTTTGACCTGAGCCCCCCACCTCTCCACAAAAAAAAAAAAGAATAAAGTCATTGAAAAAACCCAACTTTTAATTAATTTTATTCATTTAAAGAATTAAGGATTTTATTAAACCAAAAGCAGTAGAGCCCGGCGTTGCCCGGGGATGTAATAGTAAGAGATAGATCAAGTATCGACCATCATAAAGACTGAAAAATAAAATTGACAAATATTATTGTTTAAGGTTGACGGATACGTATGTCTTAATTAGTTTTTGTTTTTGTTTCGTTTTTGTTTTTTTTTTTGTTTTTTTTTACGAATTGGTCAAACCCAAATTGGTCAAACTCAAACAAAAACATTGTTTTCAATCGTTATGAGTTTACCGATTGAATAGAATTTTATTATAAACAATTGTCTTATAAAACATTCTGAATGTAAAAATAAAGAAAAAAGTGTACAAGACAATAAGAAACACTACCTGCCAAAAAAAAAAAGTGAAGTTTTGTTGAAATCGGTTGAAAAATGTAGGAAATCCGATCCCATATATAAACGAACACAGACACACAAACAACCGGGGTTTTATAATAAGTATAACTTGATATGAGTTGTCCCTCTTTCATTCTCGCGACAGCGATGCCTCTTAATCATGTTTTCAAATTGATTTCGTGCAAAAACAATTGTGTTTTTCCAATTTGTGGCACTGTCAGAACATCCGCAAGGTAATTTTACGTAGTCCTGGGAAGTTTTGTTGAAATCGGTTGAAAAATGTAGGAAATCCGATCCAATATATAAACGAACACACACACACACACACACACACACACACACACACACACAACCTAGGTTTTATAAAAGTATGATTAATGGAATAATGTAAATTAAAAACTTAAATTAAAAATATTGTATTCAAAAAAGAAAAATTTAAAAAACTTATTAAAGCTATTGAATCTTAGAAATTAAATTCTTCATTTCGTAATTATGAGCAACACCCTTTTTTGCGTCAAAAATAAAAAGTATCCATTGAGTATCACTTTGTTTCTTCCACGTTTTGATAAAATATTTGCTTCCATTTGGAATAAAATGGCTTTGACGACTTAAAAATATGAAGCTGCACGGAAGAAATATAATATTAAAATACCTCCAACTACTGTTTTTCTTAAATTGGTCTATTCGAGTATATAACGACAAAATACTTATTAGAGAGAGAGAGAGAGAGAGAGAGAGAGAGAGAGAGAGAGAGAGAGAGAATGGGAATGAAAGAGAGAATGAATTTGACTATAACGATGAAGTAGTAATCTGACCCCTAATCGTCCCTCTGCCGAAAAATACCTATGTCGAATCGGACACGACGGAACATCCTATTCCCATGCTCTCATATTTAAACTTATTCACTGTACTCTTGATGGTTTTTGAATGGACTCTAAAGATGGAAGCCAGAGTATGAATTTTCGTACCATTACTGAAGGACTGAATAATCCTTTTGCTCTCACCATTATTCATTTGGGAAGACCGTGGGGATGACATAAAACGATTTTGACCTGTTCACTTTCTAACGGAATAACTCAAAGGGTTTTTCAGTGATTCTTATGACAAATGGTGTCAAGATGGCTAAACATCTTATCTGAAAACCTGGAAAAAAGAAACTTAAGTTAAAAAAAATGGTGCAAAAAATAATGCTTTCTATATAATGCATGTATTTGCATTTTTCTTGATAATGCTTTACCAGATATTCGTTTTTATTTTTCGATTTTTAAGTAACGCAGTAAAATCGTTTTAATGACTGCATCTTGAAATAGCTTGACAACTTTTATATAATAAAATGAGTTGATTTGTGAACCGTATTATTGTTTACATTTTTTTGCAGTTGTTGCTGTCGCGTTAAACTTATTTTCCCTGATAATTTTTTGTGCATTTTGAATTTTGATATATATGTTAAGCAGTTCGCGTATTTCCTCTTTTTAAAATCAGTATTGTGTTCGTAGTTTCTCTGTTTCTGGTGTCCCTCAGTTACTCCTATGTATATTTTTCTCCTGTTACTTCTATTTTGCAGGGGTTTTATATACTATAATGCTTTGCAGGCAATTGCTACTTAAGGGACATTCAAACTTCTAGCTATACTTAGAAGTAGATTTGATTTGTTGGCTATTTTTCGGTTGTGTTTTTTAAAACTATTTCTGTTTATATTCTCAGTGCCAATGTAGCTGTATTTTTGTTGAATATCTTGTAGAGAGTGCTTTATGGGAGACGTGTTTTTGGATGAATTAATATTTTTCTACCTTTTGTTTTTTATATATGTTATACGGTGGGTTAAACAATATGTTGTTTCTTATTCTGTTGATACATTTTTTAAAGTGCGTGATGTGCATGAGAGTGTTGCCGACAATCAAATATCTTTTAGGGTTGCTTCCTAATCTTGTTTACTTATTCTCATCTTTCTCTTTCACACTTTCTGTCTGTCTCTTTCTCTTTTCTACAATTTGCTACTGATTCTCTTCTTCCTCACTCTCTCCCTATTTCTGTCCATCTCTCTTTCCCCCTTCTACTTCTGGTTCGTCATTCTCTCTCTTTCTCTATTACACACACACACACTCTCTCTCTCTTTCTCTCTCTCTATGTTCCTGTCCGTCTCTTTCTTTTTTCCACTTTTTGTTAATGATTCTCTTCTTTCTCACTTTCAATCTATTTTTACCCATCTCTCTTTCTCCAGTCTACTATTCTCTCTCTCTCTCTCTCTCTCTCTATTTCTCTCACTCTCTATGTCTCTGTCTGTATCTATCGCTTTTCCCCTGTATCGTCTACTTCTTCCTTTATATTTCGCATCCTCCTTCTCTTATGATTTCCTTTTCTCTCTCTTTCTCTCTCTGTTCTATCCCGCTATTTTCTACTGGTCTCCTTAATTTTATCTCGCACTCTCTTCCTGTCCGTCTCTCTATCTTTCCCGCTATTTCCTAGTAATTTCTTTATTTCTCACTCTACCTCCACTTCTGTCCGTCTCTCCTTTTCCGACTATTTTCTATTGATTCTCTTATGTTTTTCTCTCTTCCTATTTGTCTCTCTCTCACTTTACCACTATATCTTACTGATTCCCGATTTTGTCTCTCACTTCCTTCCTATTCGTGTCTTCAACTACAGCTATTTTATTTTACTGTTTCTGTTTTTGTCTCTCTTCCAATCCGTCTCTCTCTCGCAATACTTTTTACTGATTCTCTTTTTGTCTCTCTCACTCTCTTCCTATCGATGTCTCTCTCTCTCTCTTCCACTCCCCCTTTCCCCACTTTTTTACTGTTTCTCTTTAAGCCCCTCTCACTATTTTCTTATCCGTCTCTCTGTCTCCCAGTCGCCCCCTCTCTCCCACTATTTTTATTGATTCTCTGTTTGTCTCTCTTTCTATCTGTTTCTCTCTCTTCCTCTCCCTCTTTCCCACTATTTTTTACTGTTTCTTTTTTTGTCTCTCTCACTTTTTTCTTTTCCGTCTCTCTGTTTTCCACTCGCCCCCTCCCTCCCAATATTTTTACTGATTCTCTTTTTGTCTCTCTTCCTATCCTCCTCTCACTCTTCCGCTCTCTTTTACTATTTTTTACTCATTCTCTTTTTGTCGTTCTCACTCTCTTCCTATCCATCTCTCTCTCACTTTCCCACCTATTATTTTTCTCTTCCACTCTCTTCTATTTACCTTTCTTTCACTTTCTTTCCCTTTCATAATCTCAGTCCATCTTCTCTCTTTTTTACTTTATTTCTTACCTTTGTTTGTGTCTTCGTTTTCTTTTCTTTTTTCCCTTTCTTCTCTCTTTCCTTCTATTTCCTTCCTTCCCTCTCTTTCTCCTTAGTCCCTTTCAACTTGATCCAAACATCCCGCCTTTAACTGTTTTATTTACGTATTTATTAATTTTTTTATTCGAAACATTTGAATGATGTCGAAAATGGCCGACAGGTGGAAAGTAATCGCGTACAGAAAAGACTATAAAAGAAAAAAAAAATGGATTAAAATAATGGAACCCCGCTTTGAACGGGGATGGGTGGGTAATGGTTCGCCTTGTTCGAGACAGTTTCAAGGTGACGCAATTTAAGCAGACACGATGTTTAATTTGGCAAACCACCTTCGCCTTTGGCTGTAATCTTTTAAGAAACCACCGTTTTGGAGTTGAACAGGCAAAGAAAGATACAGTTTATTATCTTCAATAAAACATTTAATAAGACAGCAAAAAATATATCATTCAAGATTATTATTATCATTATTATTATTATTATTATTCTCTTTTTATCACCATGTTATTTTTTCTAATTTTAAATCTAAAATTTCTTATTTTTACTGAGTATACACACACACACACACACACACACACACATATATATATATATATATATATATATATATATATATATATATATATATATATAATGTGTGTGTGACAATTTAATTAATTAGTCAATTAATAATCTTACTTAGCTGGTCATTATTTTAAATCTAAAATTTTATATATTTCCTGGGTATATATATATATATATATATATATATATATATATATATATATATATATATATATATATATATATATATATATATATATATATATTATAACAATATACCCAGGAAAATATATATATATATATATATATATATATATATATATATATTATAACAATATACCCAGGAAATATATATATATATATATATATATATATATATATATATATAACAAGTATTGAAATACGAGGTCTTTCTGAAAAGTAACGGGACTGGTGGCCCAAACAATTTATTTCACTTCCAAGCAACATACTTCCCTTCAAATTCAATCCCCCTCGAGTCTAATTCACTTTTCCGTCCTTCTCTGCCACGCTTCTATGCATTGTTGGAAAGATTTGTTTTTGTTGTCCCTCAGCTCTGTCATTATGGCCCCCCTTTGTGACCTCCACGTCTTCAAAACGGGTCTCCTTAATGTTCCCCTTAATCTTGGGGAAAAGAAGCAACATCAGATGAATCAGTCAGTTATGTGCCATACGTGATACACGCTTGATGAGGCCAATTTTTCCCGCAGTAGGTTGCCATTTCTTTCTGCGGGAGACCAGTTACCATCCCGGTCTGTCCTGTTATTTACCCATAGCTGAGGGGAGAAGAAGAAGATTGATACCTTCCCCAAAGGTATTACATGTAAGTGAATGTAATAGATTCAATTGGAATTCGAACTTGGCTCTTCGATTCCTCAATCCAAGCCGCTATACATTATTCCACCGTGCTTCCTCTTCATTCAGATGAATAGAGATGGTTGTTCCAGTACGACGATGTTCTCGGCCATGTCCCGACGGATGCTCCGGGCGTTGTGAACAGGTACATTTTCGTGATGAATCACGATTTGTCCTGCCAAAACTCTCGTCTCTTCTCGCGCACTTAGCAATGCAAACGTCACACGATCTGATTTATAGACTTGCTGATTGATCCGGGTAAAAACTCACTGGGGACGATGTCTCTCACATCGACGGACGTGATGAGTCCCGTTACTTTTCAAACAAATTTCGTACATGTCATTGAAATAGTAGTCCTTGTCTGGTATTTGTTTGTATTATTTTAATTTAAATACCGTGTACCGTCAAGATGTAAGAGACGATCACACTCACCAGACTCTGTTTCTTCATGTTGCTTCATTATCTGCGAATTATCACGAATCCACGAAAAAGATATTAGTTTTGTTTGCTGTTGCTTTATGCAAGGTTTAGTATTCAGTATTTCCCGTTTCACAGACTGATTACCAACGAAGACAAGAAAAACTATTCTGACCTCTGTGACTTAGAGGGAAACAGGCAAATTCGTTCCCTTCTCTAGGTTAATTTGTGTGAAAGTGAATGCAAGACGCTAAGGTGGATTTTGAACTTGGTTCGCCAGTTTCATTTTTCTCGACAATATCCGTTACACCAGAACATTCATCCACATGGGACGTCAATGAGTTTTTATTATGTGACTTATCTTTGTCAGGGAAAATTGATAATCCGGCTCAGTTCGGGAATCAAGGGGACCTGCGAAATCGACGCAGCATTTGTATTAAACAGAACTCACACCGTTTTTCAGCTAAGTTGCCGGCAGAATAAAAACGCTTAATGAATTCCATAATTATCTTTTTTAAAAAAAAAGCAGCAGGCAGGAGGCGTCACAACGTGTTTGTTGCAAGGAGACTCAAGTGTTACTAGTTCTGCCACTATAATTATAATTACTATTACTAAGACATTGTCGACTGTTTGTTTCACGATTTGGGCGTCCCACAACTGTCACGGCTATTAAAGCATTGAGTACAATTATTTTTAATCACGGGTTGCGATGATTTCAGAGACCACAATAGTTATGGCGAGTTAAAATAAAGAAAAATTCGTGCTTTAGTCTGAAGATTTGTCTTGAAAACAGTTTCCTTATATGCTAATTTTGTTTTCTTATTTTGTTTTGATTTGATTTGATTTGTTTAACGGCATATGAACAATTTTATATGTCTATTAATGCTGAAATTTTATTTTCTGGAAGCACTGAAGTAATAAAAATGTTATTCTGCTTTCACAATTGAATACATGGTAGATGATACTCAGATTTTGTGCATATACGTATTTGTGTGAACTAAATTATTAGAGGCAGTGATATGTGTGTTTTATGTTGTAGTTTTGTTGAAGTTATATTTTGGAATACAGTTTGATTTCTTTAAGATGGATTAGGATATTATATGGATTAAGATATTATATGGATTAATGGCATGAAAGATTTTTTTTTCATTTTGATTGATGTATTGTTGGTCATTTTACTATAAGTATGTATTGTTGGGATTTTTTTATATACAAAAACGTATTGCTGGAGTTTTTACTATAAAAAATATTATTTTTCTACTTTCATGGGATTTTTGTTTTTGTTTGTGGGTTCACTGACCATACCTGGGAGCCTAACAGCCGCAACCACACCAGGTCAGAGTGGACATGGGAACAACAACAATTGGGGGTTCCACGCTCCCCCAAAACATCCTGATCAGGGGGCCTTGCTGCCGGATGTAGTTTATCGTCATACCTAGAACTATCTTCATTTAGTAACCAACTATGATGGAAAATTGAAAGTTCAACATAAATTAAGCAACTATATGAGATCATATGTATATAAAGAGATATAGAGTGTACATTTAGTTTCGAGAGAATTAACTTTGTTTTCCGATGTCGCGTTCATGATAAAAAATGGCCAGATTACGACATATATGTGCAACCTACATTTATTTTTATTCTTTTTTTTCTTTGTGTCGTGTCTCCTCAGGACGTTGGCAGTCATGAATCTCCAAATTTACCTATCTTTTGTAATAAATATAGCGACAAAGATGAGGACAATAGTCCGAATAATGTAAATAGTGTACATAATTCCTCATCTCAGAAATATAGACAGATACTGAAAGGCCGAAACGTTGTAATAAATATGGCGACAAAGATGAGGACAATTGTCCGAATAATGTAAATAATGTACATAATACCTCATCTCAGAAATATAGTCAGATACTGAAAGGCCGAAACGTTGTAATAAATATGGCGAGAAAAATGAGGACAATAGTCCGAATAATGTAAATAGTGTACATAATTCCTCAAGTCAGAAATACAGACAGATACCGAAGGTCCGAAACTTTGTGATAAATGTGCCGACAAAGATGAGGACAATAGTCCTAATAATGTAAATAGTGTACATAATACCTCATCTCAGAAATATAGACAGATACTGAAAGGCCGAAACGTTGTAATAAATATGGCGACAAAGATGAGGACAATTGTCCGAATAATATAAATAGTGTACATAATACCTCATCTCAGAAATATAGACAGATACTGAAAGGCTGAAACGTTATAATAAATATGGCGACAAAGATGAGGACAATAGTCCGAATAATGTAAATAGTGTACATAATACCTCATCTCAGAAATATAGACAGATACTGAAAGGTCGAGACGTTGTGATAAATATGGCAACAAAGATGAGGACAATAGTCCGAATAATATAAATAGTGTACACAATACCTCATCTCAGAAATATAGACAGATATCAAATTAGAATGCCTCTTAAAGGAAGACAACACTTACATAAAAACCAACGACTAAAGAGTAAATATAGACACAAATTCAACAAAACAGTCAAGAAATTACTAAAACTTAAATAAAAATCCTAGACTAGACTACTAGAATACCCCCTATTATACCCATACTATTTGGCTTACCCAAAACACACAAACCCAACCTACCCCACATAATCATCAGTACCACAGAGTCCGGCATCAACAGTGCAGCCCCAAAATCAGCTAAAGTTGTTGCAAAATTCCTATTTCCATTTTTAGGCACCATCAACCCAACAGACATTAAACAGTCTGTGGACTCAATCCAGAGGATACGAAACAGAAACATGGGAAACAAAGTTATGTCTAGCTTAGATATCAATTCATTATACACAAATAATCCCGTTACAAAAAGGCCTCAACATATTAAGAAACCACCTCAAAAAGTCCTCTACTTGTCCATAAAATCATAAATCTATGTAAACTAATCAATAAACATTGCTTCTCTTTTAATAAAATAAAAATTCTATAAGGAAAACTTTGCTTACTTATAGGATTACCTCTTAGTCGTGATTTTGCTTGTCTTTTCCCAGAATTTATAGTCTGGCCCATTTAAACGCATCATACCCCAAAACTTCATTTAACTAAAATACA